TTGTTGACTTGAGTATTATGTATTGTTACACCAGCATATAAATCAAGTATCACTAAGCAAACTAAGAAAACTAAGGTCTGTAAACAAATATTACAATAATAAATCGTTATGTTACTTCTAACGATGTTTAACTCTTCTTTCTGAACAGCGACCGATGAGACGATGACTGTCGTATTGATGCCTCCGCGAAAATCGAGGAAGTTGATTTTGAGCAAACAACCAAGAATTGATCGTTCAATCTTCAACTCCATTGACAAGCCTTCTATCTTTATAACCTGAATCTGAATATATTCTCAGATGAGCATGGAAAGAGAAGGTGGATAGGCCTCATATCCACTCCTTACAATTCTGGAAATTGCAGATATTTCTCCTCTGTCTATAATATGATTAGGAGAACAGATTCGGCATTTTTCAGTGTTACCTCTTACGGGAACTGGTCGCACCAGAGGTTGTGTTACCGATGTTAAGTACCATGCGAGGCTTCATGAGTCTGAGTAGCTCATTGGCACGCGAAAGATAACGTGCAGATCGACTATCCAGTTATCCATAGTCAAAAAGGATTGTATTGTATCAGCTGGAACAACACATAGCATTCACTCGTGAAATTTACATCAAGAATCTTCGAACACCCTATCTAACCACGTGGAACTTAGGACTTTATCCACAGCAAACTCTGTAAAGGAAAGTCTGACTTTTTTATTTTGCAATATACATCTGTTTATCGTTGTTGTTTTGATACTTCGATAATACAGCTATCTTATTTTTATGTCCTCAAGACTTTTTTTCCGGAAATTGTGAAGTTTCCTATTTCTGTAATGGTTAAGTCTATCAAACGTGTAAGTACCGTCAAGAGACTGAGATCTAATACCAGTCAACCACCTGAAGGCCTCAGCTCCGTTGACGATTCTACACTTTTTACACCAGCCGCACCCAGAATTATGGTATCTGATATCATGGAAGAATTGATAGAGAATGCGGCTTGTAGCAAAAATGATTTGCTGACACTTCAGAAGTCAATAGCAGAACTACAGAGCAAGTTTGACAGCATTATGCCTCTCACGCAACTGTGTGACCCATCACAAAACATCTATCTTGAATTACTAATCAAATCCAAGCGCATAATCGACTATTTGGCTGAAGAAGCTCTTAAGAGGATTATGTCTTCACATAACGTCTTGGCCTATAACATTCCAGACAGGGCACCGATTGCCAAACTTAAGAATTCGTGTCTAAAGGCTTGTAATATGTCGTTGACAGAATGTCAGGTTTTGCGTCTTCGTAAGAAATCTGCAAACCACCCGTGTCCTGTGCTTTTTCAAGTTTAGGTCTACTGAAGAAGCCAGGGATTTTCTGAAATCTGGTAAGACAATAGGCTCTTCAACACCCTATACTAACATTAGGGTTGCACCTGATTTAACACCATGTCAAAGACGACGACGCTCAGGAACACTGAGTGCTGATAACTCCAATAGGATAACTGTAGATGATGTTCCGTGCGTTGTTCCGTCTAGTGAAATACCTGATCACGGCATGCAACAGACATTTTCGCAGGCACTGGATAATGTTAGCCAAGCATTATATAACGATACTGATGCTGACACCGAAATGGTGGACATAGATGAGTGAACGGGAAATAATGTTGAAATACATCGTTTTCACACTGACGCAAAAGTCAAGACACCGAAACCATCAAAACCCATCCCACTGTTGGTCCAACCATTGCCTTATAAGTCAGTTACTCCTCAGTCTGACATTCCACACTCTGTGAAGCACCAGTCGAATGTAACTATCCAAGCTGGCAAGTTTTCTAGGCGTTATGACAAACGTCCCATTTCCAATAAGAAAACTAAAGCTCACGAGGTGTCCAATCAGCAGAAACCCTACATAGCATGTGCTGGCTGCCCTGTTAGCCATCATCAGCCAGTTGATCATAAGATAAGGGAAAAAGAAGTAAATAAATTAAATACTAGAAACGGAGCAAGAAAGCCCTTTGATATGAAAGAAACGAAAGCACCTCTAAGCCCTCCTTCTAAGAGAAAGTCAAATATCGTAGACCAAGCTCCTAGGGGTAGGCCTAATTGGTGTCCAGTGCAAAGCCAATTTTATCCGATCCCTAATTCTAGACAAACAGCACAGCAAGGTAGTAGGTATTATTCTGCGCATACACTACGTAAACCCCTTGTCAGCCAGCCCACTTCTAATATTCTGTTGACTGAAAGTTATAGAAAATACCCCAAACATCGGCCACGGACCACATTTAGCAAGCCAACAGAACCCATTCATACATCTTATGTATCTAGTGGGGAGCATGTGCCGATTTCTGCACAAAACTTGCTATGGTCTGGTGAATACCCGAAACAGATACCAACACTTCATTCTTATACTGGCAACAAATTACCTAATACACATATCGGTTATACCGTAGGGCAGGATTTTCAACAGCGTCAGTTAACAGAAACACCTGGAATCATGCATATAGCACGCATGATATCGAATCGATTCCTTGCTGGCATAGCGAACAGTCTACAGCTAGAGCAAGGCATATTTCCCGAGAGATAGCTGACACAGTGTTGACACCAAACGCGGATACTTATATCTCTAAAATATTATTATCTGATTGTCACACAGGTGTCTCTCACTGCCTACCGTGTCCATCCCTGACTACTACCTCAAAAATCTACCTGAAGTCTTCCTACGATTCAAAGATATTAGTAAATGGGTCTGATAACATGTATATAGAGGATACTCACGGATTATTTTACCAAGATGTTGTCCGCTCACTGAAACCACATAGCCAGTGTTTGTCTATTATCCTAGTAAGTACAAGATCAGTTCTAAGCAAACACTTAACACTAAGTACATTAGCTTCTACATGCAGACCGTCATTGATTATGATCACCGAAGCCTGATGCACAAGGGAATCTCCAATGACAGCCTAATTATTGATAAATACAACCTTTTTCGAGGGACGGATGGACAGGTCGTCGGGATGGAACACTAATTTACTGTGAACAATCCATATGTACAACCCAGTTTAGTAACCCAATTCTGTCACAACTCAATGACTCGATCTGGGTTGAAATAAAAGTTGTTATAAGTAAACCTATACTTGTGGGTTGTGTGTACCGGCCCCCTTCATCCAGCAGGGAATATGATAATATGCTCAGCAATATTTTTAATGGTACAGCCAATCTTCTTTTCAGTTATAAAATTATCGGAGGTGATTTCAACATGTCAGAAGTATCATGGTCTTCACTCCGAGGACCACAAAGGTATGATAATCTCCTGAATTCTGTCGTCACAGAAGAGTGGACACAACATATAAATTCACCCACTAGATCCACAAATATCTTAGACCTTATTTTCACGAACAACATAACACCATCTACAGTACATGTGGGACATGAATTTCCAGGTAGTGACCATAAAATAGTAGTTTGTTCTTTTGACATCTTTCCTGAAACAAAACACAGAGATGAAGCTGGCCAGATACCTATGAGATTGTACACACGTGCTGACTGGAACTTGTATCAGCACCTAATTAAATGTTCTAATTGGGACTCGTACTTTTCAAACCAGTCCTTAGATGCAATTCTTAACAACTTTTATCAGAATATTAACTCAAGTCACGACGTCATTGCACCCGAGAAGATTCTTAGCTTCAGATTACCCGAAAGCGATTATATTCCGACATCGTTTAGAAGAAGTCTACGAAAGCACGCAATAAAATACTACAGACATCATGACTTATCGTCATTAATTGCCATTACGTCTCTTCTCAATAGAATTGAAGAGTTGAGATATATAGGCCTCAGAAACAAAGAAATGCAGGCCATTCAGGCATCGCATAACTCAGGAGAAATAGCCAAACTTTTTAAAAGTAGGTTGACGAATTCCAAAACACCCTATCCGAAAATAATATACTTAGACGGCATTGCTTACGAAAATACTGAGGCGATATGTGAACTGTTTACCAAACACTTCGCCAGATTATACACCTTAGAGAACGATGAGGTCGTGGATTTCCCACGTAAAACAGACGAATGTTTAAGTGACATAATTTTCACCACACATGAGATCGATAAGGCTGTCGAAAATCTGAAGCTTAGTAACACTAGTGGTCCAGACGGTACATCTTCTGTTCTGCTGAAAAACGGTGGTAATGACATGAGTTTACTCTTACTCAAGTTATACACAATTTCATTAAGCGATGGGACATACCCTAACTGCTGGAAGAAGTGTAGGGGACTAATATTAGAGTTCACTAACATTCCAAGTATAAAAGTAATAATCCAAGTCAGTGGAGTGTTAAATCACAATATATTACCAAAAATACAGTGACGAGTTATAGCAACAAAAAGGATTACTTGGTTATAAAGTGTAAGTCCTCGGCTACAAATTAATTATATAATCCACAGGCACGTTAACTGTTTGGACTGCGTCTGCTGTAGCTGCTGTGTTCCGGTTGTAGAAATGTCTTCGGTTGAGAGTAGTAGGCTCCTACAATAAATCCAAAGTATACAACACGGTGTGAGTGGAGCAAGTAAGCAGAAGTGACCAGGGAGAAGACGAAGTCTCCAACAGCAGAGTGTATTTTTCAATTGTACACGGAAGTTATGTATATTTCAACAAGAAGCGTTTTAAACAAAAATTATGTACAATATCTCGAATTTATACAAGTAACCAAAAAGTGTACAATCACATTGTTACGTACTCAACACGGCTCCCCCCTAGAGGTCCGGAGAGACAACCGGAAAATGATAAGTAAAACTATGAAGTAAATAATAATAGTAATAGCAACTTTTGGATAAAAATAGGGATATATTACAACATGCATAAACGCGAGAAGGTATGTGAATCATGTAAAGTCTGAAAGCATATACAATAAGTTCAGCAATAAAAATTGAAATAGAAAGTCATGTCACTTAAATTTGCACTAACCATGAACATAGATTTTTAATGTATAAAGAAAAATATGTAAATACACAGTAATTAAGGAGGGGAAAGAAACATTAAAAAAAATATGGATTAAAGATCAATAGTTTTTGGAAAGGACACTACCTGTTTTTTGGTGAGGTACATATAAATAAATAATAGTGATAGTAACATCAAAGTTTACGACGAAATACTAACGGTCATGATGATAATGTCTAAACGAAAAAGATAATAATAATTTTTAATTATTTTTCTTTTGTTAGTCCTCAAAATGAACGTAGCGAGCCGGTTTACTGATTTGCCGACCACTACGTGTTTGATATGGAGGGAGGATAAGACTTGGTGCCGGTGGAGTGGAATCGGATGTTTGATTATTTGATTGCGCAGTTGCCGATGTAGATTCGAAGTCGTTGTCGGTGTATGCGGGTTTGATTCGATCAATGGAAATAGTCTCTCGTTTTCCATTCTTGTTCACGGTAAAGTGTTTGTCTGAACGTTTAATAACTTGAAAGGGTCCTTCGTATGGAGGTTGCAATCCTTTTCTGATGGCGTCGACTCGAATGAAGACGAATTTGCAAGTTTGTAGATGTTTGTTGATCTGATCTCGTCGGGGAGATTGTCGAGGTGCTGTTGGTTGAAGTTGAAGCATTTGTCTAGTTAATCGGTTAGTGAAGTCGGCAATGTTCACGTCTGTGGAATCGGCTGAGGGGACTAGCTGTCCAGGCAAGGTTAGGTTGGTGCCATAGACAAGTTGAGCCGGTGTACATCCTAAATCTTCTTTGATAGTAGATCGGATACCAAGTAAAATCAAAGGTAAGTATTCACTCCACTTAGATGTATCATTCTGCGCCATCAGGGAGCTTTTCAGTTGTCTGTGGAATCTTTCCACTAGACCATTCGCTGCCGGATGATAGGCTGTTGTGGAGATATGTTTCACTCCCAGAAGTCTCGTCAGTTCGCGAAAGAGTGTCGATTGGAATTGAGGACCGCGGTCGGATGTAATAGTAGTTGGTACACCGTAGTTTGACACCCAACGGTCGAGAAAAACTAAAGCAACGTTTTCAGCAGATATGTCGTTTAAGGGGCATGCAATAGCCCAACGAGTAAATCTATCAATCGCTGTCAGGATATGTGTATATCCCCTTGATGTTGGCAATGGTCCCACGATATCTATATGGATATGCTGAAATCTCCTTTCGGGTAATTTAAACGTCTTCGGGGTTGTAATAGTGTGGCGGTGTACTTTGGAGCATTGGCATTGGATACATTCTCGTGCCCATCTCCGAATGTCAGAGTTCATTTTAGGCCACACGAAGCGTTCGCTGATCAGCCTGACCGTGGCGCGTACTCCAGGGTGGGAAAGCGAATGTAAATGTTCGAACAATGCTTTTCGGCAACTGAGAGGGACAAATGGACGATTAGTGCCGGTAGATACATCGCAGACTATGGTTGCATCTGATAAGGGGATAGGCACATCTTTGAGTTGTAAGGAAGAGTTTCTGCGGCAGGTTTGGAGTTCAACGTCATCTCTTTGTAATTGAGCCATACGATCAAGACTGATGTCTACCGACGTTTGGAGCTGGTTAATGTCACTTCTTGAAAGAGAATCGGCTACCACGTTCGCATCCCCTTTGATGTACTGAATGTCGGTTGAAAATTGGGAGATATAATCCAACTGTCTGGCTTCTCTAGGGGAGTGTTTATCAAGTGAAGTAGTGAAAGCATGACACAGGGGCTTGTGGTCAGTAAAAATAGTGAAATGCCGGCCCTGTAGTAAGTAACTGAAATGCTTCACTGCAAGATATATGGCCAGCAATTCTCTCCCAAAAGTGCTGTATCGTGTCTGAGCCGGTTCCAACTTCTTAGAAAAGAATGCGAGTGGGGTGACTTCGCCCTTCATCTTTTGTTGTAATACTGCCCCTACAGCTACTTGGGAGGCATCTGTGCACAAAATAAGCGACGCTTCGGGGTTGATATGGGATAGCATAGTAACTCTGGATAAGGCATCTTTTGCGTTGCAAAATGATTCGCGTGCTTCAGCTGACCACTGAAACTTTTTAGGATCATTTTTAAGGAGGTCGGTTAACGGCTGGACGATGGAGGCACACGAAGGAATGAAACGCCGATAGAAATTAAACATCCCCAAAAAACGTCTGACCTTCTTGAGTGAATCTGGTTCGGGGAAGTTTTTGATGGACTCTATCTTTTCCTCCGTAGGCGTAATACCATTCGTGGTTATGTGGTGTCCCAGAAACTGTATAGAGGAGACACCGAATATGCACTTTTTGGGGTTAATGACGACTCCATATTGCTCAAATCGTTGAAATAAGATGGTGAGGTGATCAGTATGTTCTTCGGGCGACGAGCTAGCAATTAAAACGTCATCGATATATACAAATACAAAGTCCAAACCTTGTGTGACCTGATCCATGAAACGTTGGAAGGATTGTGCTGCGTTCTTTAGGCCAAATGGCATGCGGAGAAATTCAAACAAACCGAAAGGTGTGATGATGGCCGTTTTTTCGATATCCTCTTGGGCAACTGGTATTTGGTGATAGGCCCTGACCAAGTCTACTTTAGAAAAAATGGTTTTTCCGTGTAATGTCAGGGAGAAATCATGAAGATGAGGAATAGGATAACGGTCGGGAACTGTGGCATTGTTTAAATGTCGGTAATCCCCACATGGCCTCCAATCATGATCAGCTTTAGGCACCATGTGTAAGGGCGAAGACCAAGGACTATTGGAGGGTCTGATGATGCCGAGCTGCATCATGTGTTCAAATTCTGCCTTGGCTGCTGCCAATTTGTCCGGGGGTAATCTACGGGGACGAGCACGAACTGGTTGACCCGTAGTAACTATCTTGTGAGTAACTGTGTGAGGGACGTCCTCGATGTTGTACGACGGCTTAAGAATTTTAGGGAAACGGTGAAGTAGGGAGGAAAAAGGGCAATCTGCTGGTCTTTCAATACTGATATTATAGACAGAATAGCTGGAGATAATTCCATGGATCTTTAGATGGGTGTTGTTATCAATCAGTTTTTTATTGTTGACGTCAACTAACAGGTTGAAATTACTCAAGAAATCTGCTCCGAGGATGGCGTGACTGACGTCGGCTACTATGAAAATCCATGTGAAACGCCGACGTAAACCTAGATCCAGTATGAGGGATTGCTCTCCATACGTCTGTATGCTTGTGTGGTTAGCTGCCCGGAGAGACAGTTTTCCGGGTGTCCGTGTAGATCGCCTGGATAGTGAAGGAGGGATTACGCTAACTTCTGCTCCCGTGTCTACCAGGAATAAAGTGTCTGAAGTTTTATCCTTCACATAGAAGAGGCGACTTGTTTGCTTGCCAGTAACAGCTGTCGCCATCACTGTCTGGCTGAGGCGTTTCCCTGAGCCTGGTTGGCTTCGCTAAAGCTGCACGGTTTTACACATTTCAGGGCATGACGTCCAAACTTCCAGTGATACCAGCATATATTGCTATCCCGAGAAGACGTGTAAGAACGCTGTCGTGAGAAGGATCGTCGTCGTGATGGTGACCTTCTTTGTGAACTCCGTCTCCGGACTTGTCGATCAGACTTATTAGTTTCCAAATTGTCAATCCTTGCCGCTAAGTCTGCAATGGCGGCGAGTATCGGTGTGTCTGCCGTGGGTGTGGAATGACACGGTGTGGCACTATCAGATGCTACGTGACTTATGGTGTTATCGGATAAAACATCCAAAATACTATCTGCCATGTCACTTAGTTGGTCTAAGTCATACGACTTTCCTGAGATGATTAAAATTTGCTGGACATTTCTAGGTAAACGTTGCAACCACATCTGTTTCAGCACTACCTCGTCTACTTTATGATGTCCGATTAACTGGCGCATGTGCCTGAGCAGCTGGGATGGTTTACGTGGGCCTAGTTCACAGCCTGTGAGCAATTGTTGGATTCTTTTCTCATCCGACAAACTGGTACGTTGTATGAGGAGGGCTTTAAGTTTATCAAATTGATGTTCCGTCGGAGGATCTTCGATGAAATCGCTGATTTCTGTCAATACTGACGGAGGGAGTTCTGCCAGCACCATACCATATTTGGCTATTTGGGACTTAATGCCCCGTGCTTCTAGCAACGGTTCAATTACCGCAAACCAAATCCTTGGTTCTGCGAAACCGTATTGGGGTAAACGAAAATCAGTGATGGCATTTATTGTGGCATTTGTCTCGCTATTAGTTGTCTGCTCGTTTGATGTACCGGACTGAGGTGATGACATTATAATATGAGGTTATTGGTGCAAATTAGGATACAAATATAAACCACACACAAAATCACAATGAATATAAAAATAGCAAAAATAAGAATATAAATATGCCAAAATAATCCGTGTTCTTATCGGGCTCACCAATTAATTTGTAGGGGACTAATATTAGAGTTCACTAACATTCCAAGTATAAAAGTAATAATCCAAGTCAGTGGAGTGTTAAATCACAATATATTACCAAAAATACAGTGACGAGTTATAGCAACAAAAAGGATTACTTGGTTATAAAGTGTAAGTCCTCGGCTACAAATTAATTATATAATCCACAGGCACGTTAACTGTTTGGACTGCGTCTGCTGTAGCTGCTGTGTTCCGGTTGTAGAAATGTCTTCGGATGAAAGTAGTAGGCTCCTACAATAAATCCAAAGTTACAACACGGTGTGAGTGGAGCAAGTAAGTAGAGGTGACCAGGGAGAAGACGAAGTCTCCAACAGCAGAGTGTATTTTCCAATCGTACACGGAAATTATGTATATTTCAACAAGAAGCGATTTAAACAAAAATTATGTACAATATCTCGAATTTATACAAGTACCTAAAAAGTGTACAATCACATTGTTACGTACTCAACATAGTCAGTGTTGACACCATGCAAACTGTCAGTCGGCTAACAGGACATTTACTCACATTTTCCAAACAAAACGATGGTAGTCAGGTCAGCTGATAATAAACATTGAGACAAGGCTAGATAAGCTTGAGAGAAGCGGGTGGAAACTAGTAGTGTAATTGATATAAGGAGTAGTGGTATAGGTATTGTTATGGGTATTTGTATTTGTATTGGTATTGGTATATTTATTGCTATAGCTAGTGCCATTGCTGGTGGCAGTGGTAGTGGTAGTGGTAGTGGTAGTGGTAGTGGTTGTCGTGGTCATGGTCGTGGTCGTGGTCGTGGTCGTGGTCGTAGTGTTTTTAGTCGGTTTCGTTGTGGTAGTGAAATGTTTGAGAGTAGTTGGTTATATAATTTTATGTGAGAGGGCAGATTTTGTGCGGGATGAGTATATACTACTTAATAAGAAGTGGTGATGGCAAGGGATTGCAGAGCACTGGTGTTGAGAACTGTGATTCGAGTATTTTGATTGGTGTTGATTTGATGTGTGAGGGTGTTGTATGCGTGGTGTGTGTGGCTTGAGGAGTACTTAGTGGAGATGTGCAAATGTGTGTGTGAGTGGAATGAGAATTATGTTGTAGGTGTGAAGTGTGTGGAATGATGGTGTGTTGACGTGCGTGAGAGAAGGAGAGATGGTTGGCAGTCCCCTGCACAAGGTTGGATAGGGCACCTGTTGCCCACTACTCTCCGGAGGCATCAATCGTCCGCTACATCGGGCGGCCTTTTTCACCCCTTCACTCCACCACACTCATATCTTGACAACTCTCCTCCAAGTCATCATCAAGCTGCCTCATATCTCCCTCTCTCTCTCTCTCTCTTTATATTTAGATGTATATACATATTAATGGCTCGCTCCCTTTCTCTCTGCACATTCGCCACATCCGAAATTTCCGACTACACCCCCACTCTCTGTGTTGGACGCATACGCCCGAACCAACCCACTTCAGCCAACAATCAATCTCACACTCACTGTGAAGCCACGCTAGCTAGCTAGCTAGCTAGCTAGCATATGTGAACACGAAACACACCTATCGAAACACCCATCAATGTCACACACACACACACACACAGACACACACATCACTAACAACGCAAACCAAAAACAATATCACAACACTTTCACTCACTCACTCACTCACTCATTCTCACACATCAAGAAGATTCAGTTGTGTGGATACCTCATACGACAATGAGTCGAGCATATTGCCAAACGCTGACTGGTTAGCATAGCAAAGAACCTTCTATCCGATAACTTCGGATTCTATAGTTATTTGTCCCCCACATTAGTTGAAGGATAGATAATTGATATAAGAAAGACGAATTTATTGACTTGCGTTAGCAAGTGATGTGCTGAGTGTCAGTCAGTCAGGCAGTCAGTCAGTCATCAGCCAAGTGGAATTTCTACATGGTGTCAATTGGGAGTGAGAAGAAATCCTTTGTCCTGTTAATAGTGACGGGTGACTTATCAGATTCACATTGTCTTCATCACTGTCATACCTTCCGGGTGTTCACGTGAGAATTAGCCTCCTTCTTCGCCTGTAGGAATGAATGCACAGGCGAAGATTTCCGTCAGAAGCTTGTCAGCTCCTCTCACTCAGACCACACAAGAAAGCCACCAGACTCAGCTAACCTGAAAAACATACTCAGGGAAAAGCTCTCCTAGTCATCGTAGTCGCAATCCAAATCGAAATCGAAATACTCAAAATTACTAGATAACCTAAGAGATAAGGTGAATCAGAAAGTCAGTCAGTCAGTCAGTCAGTCAGTCAGTCAGTCAGTCAGTCAGTCAGTCAGTCAATCAGTCAGTCAGTCAGTCATATAGTCAGTGTTGACACCATGCAAACTGTCAGTCGGCTAACAGGACATTTACTCACATTTTCCAAACAAAACGATGGTAGTCAGGTCAGCTGATAATAAACATTGAGACAAGGCTAGATAAGCTTGAGAGAAGCGGGTGGAAACTAGTAGTGTAATTGATATAAGGAGTAGTGGTATAGGTATTGTTATGGGTATTTGTATTTGTATTGGTATTGGTATATTTATTGCTATAGCTAGTGCCATTGCTGGTGGCAGTGGTAGTGGTAGTGGTAGTGGTAGTGGTAGTGGTTGTCGTGGTCATGGTCGTGGTCGTGGTCGTAGTGTTTTTAGTCGGTTTCGTTGTGGTAGTGAAATGTTTGAGAGTAGTTGGTTATATAATTTTATGTGAGAGGGCAGATTTTGTGCGGGATGAGTATATACTACTTAATAAGAAGTGGTGATGGCAAGGGATTGCAGAGCACTGGTGTTGAGAACTGTGATTCGAGTATTTTGATTGGTGTTGATTTGATGTGTGAGGGTGTTGTATGCGTGGTGTGTGTGGCTTGAGGAGTACTTAGTGGAGATGTGCAAATGTGTGTGTGAGTGGAATGAGAATTATGTTGTAGGTGTGAAGTGTGTGGAATGATGGTGTGTTGACGTGCGTGAGAGAAGGAGAGATGGTTGGCAGTCCCCTGCACAAGGTTGGATAGGGCACCTGTTGCCCACTACTCTCCGGAGGCATCAATCGTCCGCTACATCGGGCGGCCTTTTTCACCCCTTCACTCCACCACACTCATATCTTGACAACTCTCCTCCAAGTCATCATCAAGCTGCCTCATATCTCCCTCTCTCTCTCTCTCTCTTTATATTTAGATGTATATACATATTAATGGCTCGCTCCCTTTCTCTCTGCACATTCGCCACATCCGAAATTTCCGACTACACCCCCACTCTCTGTGTTGGACGCATACGCCCGAACCAACCCACTTCAGCCAACAATCAATCTCACACTCACTGTGAAGCCACGCTAGCTAGCTAGCTAGCTAGCTAGCATATGTGAACACGAAACACACCTATCGAAACACCCATCAATGTCACACACACACACACACACAGACACACACATCACTAACAACGCAAACCAAAAACAATATCACAACACTTTCACTCACTCACTCACTCACTCATTCTCACACATCAAGAAGATTCAGTTGTGTGGATACCTCATACGACAATGAGTCGAGCATATTGCCAAACGCTGACTGGTTAGCATAGCAAAGAACCTTCTATCCGATAACTTCGGATTCTATAGTTATTTGTCCCCCACATTAGTTGAAGGATAGATAATTGATATAAGAAAGACGAATTTATTGACTTGCGTTAGCAAGTGATGTGCTGAGTGTCAGTCAGTCAGGCAGTCAGTCAGTCATCAGCCAAGTGGAATTTCTACATGGTGTCAATTGGGAGTGAGAAGAAATCCTTTGTCCTG